TAGTATTATTTGGCCCTAGCTAAACGAAGTTGTTTTTTACAATTTTATTTTATAATCGTCGTTGAACTGCCGACCCAATTTTGGGTTTACAATACTAATGTTCAACTCCATAGCCCTGTAATTTTGAATCTATCCAGAAGACAAGGAAACTCCTAGATCAGTGCCCCCAGATGTATTGATTTGTTATGGAAACATAGAGGACTTTGAGACTTGACAAATTTAACGAGCATCAGTCGTCATTTACTACACGGGGAGTCTTCGGCCGGCGAGGATCGAACCCCCGACCTCTTGGACATGGGTCCAGTGTACTACCAACCAGACTATCCCGGCACTAAACGAAGTTGTTTGACCATTCTAGACATTGAAGCATACTTTAACCATTTGGGTCACTGTCGAAGAATCCCAAACAGCGCAGCCGTGCTTTCTCTAAATAAGTACGAAAAGACTCAAGCAGCGTTATAGCACTTGTTTTATTTTCTGTCGAGAAATACCAAGCAGCGCGATAGTGCTTCTTTATTTTACATCGATGAATCCCAATCGAGGCAATAGCGCTTCTTGTATTTGTTAGGTAACGTGTCTCTTTCTCACAGCTCCGTCACATTTATTGTAGTTTGCAAAGCGATCGGATGTATTCTTGTATGTATTCTTCGGATTGTTTATCATTGTTAATAATTGTGTGTTTCAAAATGATAAGACGAAACCAAAACAAGAAGTAAGGAAATCTGAGTGCGCGACTTCAACAATTGGTAACGCACCGTCAGTTGTCTACAATCAGGGGTCTGTTTAGAAGAAATTTGGGTCCGTTAACGGACTCTTCACAAAATATATTTTCATAAAAATGGACCCTTCACAAAATATTTTAACTTAAAAACGGACCCTTCGCAAGATGATTTTTCTTTTAATCGGACCCTTTACAAATTTGTTTATCTTCATTACTGTTTTGTTAATCGAATAAACCCTTCCCAGGGCAGAAAACAAGAAAGATAGATGTAAACGAATTAAGTTTTGTCTTCGGCAGATGATTCTTCCATTATTCGTCTGAAATGAATATTCTGCGGTCAGCAGTATAGGCTAAATACCAAATATTTGTGTGTTGCATCTCTAATTTAGAAGCAGCAATTGCTGTTTATTTTTGAAAATTTAATTTTTTTATTATAATTTTACAGTGCCGAGCATAATCTTGTATCTATTTACAATTTAAAAACTCCTTGAAAAAGTTTTTTGCAATAACCGGACCCTATTTGCACAAATTCATAAAAGCGGACCCTGGTTGAAAGAATGTGAGTAATTTTTTCACAATTTCACGAAAAACGGACCTTTCACAAAATGTCTGGACAGACCCCTGACAATGTTCGAAATGTACTGGTTTTCTCGATATAAAATGTCAACAGCGCAAACACGCTACTTGGGACTAAAACGGTTAATATTCATAAGCGTTTCCCCAGTATTTTTCAATTCACTAGATGAAGCGAGAAGGTATAGCCAATTTAAGGGAATTTGAGGATACAATTATATTCGAAATTATCGTTTACGAAGCACCAACTTAATATAAATAGTATTTATGTCTTAAGATTGAAAGCTCAGCGGGCAAAAAAGACAAAAACAATTTTTAAATTTATGTAGGCGACAATTTTAAAATTTATGTAGCTGTGAATCTTCATTATTGTAAACTAAATGTTTGCTTAAACTTTTTTTTTTTTTAACATTCAACTTTGCTAAATGCAAGATAGTCTTAACTAGGTAACTTAAATTATGTTTAAGTTAATATTGTTAAAATAAGTTTTAAATTCCGCAATTGCATTTTTACCCTCTTTTATTCTAACTTAGTGTTGCAGCCTATGCGTTTTACAATCAATATTTATCCGCATATTTAAGCTTTAAATTTTATCCTTTGCTTTAGTGAACATTTAAGTATTATACTTTAAGAAAAAAAAATTTTTTTTAATATCTTAATTGTTTAAAAAGAGTGCTATAGAGTTGTCAAAAACATTAAATGAGATGTTTCTAATGCATTACGAATGCCGTAATTATCAACTCGAGACATTGTCATATATTTCCTCGAGTTCTTTTTTCAATCTAGCATATCATCTACCACCAAAACTTTCGTCAAGCATGCATATGATTGGTAAAACTTGTTGAATGTCGGTAAAACTTGTATATTTTGGAAAAACATTTTGGCACATCTAATTATGATTTTGTAAACGTAAAATCTTAAGGTATTGTAAAAATGTTTTTATAAGATACTTAATGTCAGCGTGTATCTACTACTATTAAGTGTATCTACTTTGTTTTTAAGTAAATTCTATTAAATAGGAGTTATGATATTAATTAGTTTCTCAAGAGTAGATTAATAAAATATACAATAATATTGATAGATGAAAAATACTTATGTGCAAAATAATGGTTATTATCTCTATAAAATACATGTATCTTTCAAATTACTTTACTCTAAAAACATATCTTGAAATATATATAAATGTTTTGTAAAATTACTTTAGAAATAGCCTTTATGCTAAATGAAATTTTAAAATCTTATTATTAAATCATATTTCTCTCATATTTTTCCTTCTGTTCTAATTACTAGAAAAATTACCCGTTATTTAAATGAAATATAGTTAACAGTTTTATAAACACCTGAAGTGAAACTTTTATAATTTATACATTAATTAAAATAAGCTATACTGATTTACTAAGCTTCTAATCCCCAAATTAAAAAATACTTAAGTTTTTTTATTAAATTCTCTACATATATTCATGAAACTAGATTAGTCAAGCATAAAATAATTGTTTAATTGTTTTTGATTGTTAAAAATATAAAACAATTGCAAGAGCGATAAATGCAGACGATTTATATGGCTACAGCGAAGGTATGGTTTATACATCGCGACGTTAATAAAGAGTAAGGCTAGAAGGTGTTGATTCAAACCAGGGGATTTTGATGGCAAATCGAGATGCAATTCTTACATTTCGGTGGGCTTATTACCATCTTGAAAAATAAAACTATTAATCGAATACTTATGACGCTCTAAAGAAAGATAAAAAGAGTAATCCAGAATATCAAAATAAACATTCTGGCTCTTATTTGTAGCCATCTTGGTGACTATCTATCCATAGTATCATTAGGAACATCATCCACCTTAGTAACCTTTAAAAGGAACAACAACAACAAAAAAAAAGCTCAAAACGTCAGAGCTACACTGCATTGCTTTTTATGATATCTCGAGGGTTACTGATTTTTTTCCAGTGATTTTTAACTAGAAATGCCTATTTTATTTAATATCATAACCATCATGTTTTTTTTTTAAATCTTTTTTCATAATTTGGAAGCAATATATATAATAATATATTAATAATAATATAATATTACATTTTGTTTTCACAAGATCTTACGCGAAGAATTAACGCAAGATTCCTGACTAAGTGACTATACCATATGTGCCCAATATTGATTTCCACTGAATTACATTAAGTTAATCATATATATAGGATAATTATTCTTTATTCAGAAATATCGCATTAATTTATACCAATAGATGTGTCTTGATAACGACTATTGGTTTTCCCATCTTGCTTGCATAATTTATAAAAGATTTAGCTAAATTGACAAAAAATTAATCTGAAGTAATATAAAGCACAATTAAGAGATGAATTACAACAAGACTGAAATAAGTTAGGATTAATTTCAAACAGAAATGTCAGGTTTTGAATTAAACAAGGAGCGAACGATTATATCATTAAAATCAAATTATATTTCATCTGTTATTTCTCTTAAGAGAAAGTAAAATAAATAGAATAACGAACTTTACTGATAATATTTTACTTAATAGTCATCAATAAAATAAATTTAAACACGTGCACGTTAATTTTGAACAATAAAATATTTACAAAGATAACAAAGACTGGTTTTTTTTAAAAAATTAAATCGTGTTTTATTAATAAAATCCAAAAACCTGGCCTTTTTCCAAAAAGACCAACTTTTTTACAACCCTGATTACAATGACAAAATGATGTTATTTTTTCATGATAAACCTTTTTTTAGCATAATCATTGATTATTTAAATGGTAAATTGATAAATTAGTTAATAAATTTATTAATTAAATTTTGAATTCAATTATGATTATTTATTATTATTGTTGCTCAATACATTTATTGCGAAATAACCATGTATTAAAAGTCAAAAACTAGTAAATTGTAATTGTATTAATTAGAAAAATATGTATATCACTTAGAAAAATACATCTGTTTTGTTGTATTATACCCGAAATTTATTATATTTGCCAATGAAACCGGCAAAAACTATTTTTGCCGGGCTTTTTTAATCGGTTGTAACTATGTTTAAACCCCCTTTCCCGTAAAAAATTGCTAAACCGCTGATGCGATTTCTGCACGTAGAAAAAAAAATTGCTGAATTTGTAATCAGGCGGAATTTTCTATGTCAGTGTTTCCCAAAGTGTGGTACGCGTACCCTCAGGGGTACGGGAACAGTTTAACGGGGGTACGCGTTCTTATGCAAAAAAACCTTGCTACAGACGAATTCTTGCAACAAACAAAAATTTCAAAATTTTTTTTTAAAAACAAAGCTAGCCATGAAAATTTACGATTACGTATTTTTCTATTGGCTATTTTCTGCAGAGTTAACAGTTAATAATTAGTGGTGTCAACAGCCAATTGTGATTTTTAAATTTTGTGGAAGTTTTTATAGTAAAACATACATTCATTTTTTTATGAGTGATACACAGTGTTATGAGAAATTTAGAAAGGGTACTCAAAAGTCATAAGTTTGGGAAACACTGTTCTATGTAATCGTCTGAATTCTTCTGAAAAATATGCATATACTTTTTATACTATTTTTTTTTGTATAATTCTTTTAAGTGGTTAACAGAAAAATTTCGCATAAATAGTTACTGTACTTTAAATACCTAACATAAGGTTTAAGATGCACTTCATATTAGTCTAATTTAAAAGAAGAAAAAAAAGAGAGGAAGTAATATGTACTTACATACGATATCATAGGCAGATTCACGGAAGCTGATACGGTCGCTTCCACTTCACATGAATTTTCTGGTCCAAAAAAGGCAACAACACCTTTGCGCCACATGTTAATAACGGCGTTCGTACCCAAAAGTGTTTCACCCCTAGTGTCCTCATATATGAACTCCAAGGTATAATTATCGGGCAATATCTTCCGCTCATTCACTTGTTTCACTGCATATGTCATGGCACCACTGATAATGATACCTTGTCGTGGCTTCCCATGCATGTTAGCCAGGTAGCCAACAGTTAAGTTGATATGGCCACTGGCATACACTTTGCTAAACGTCAAAACATAGACTAGATAAACCAAGACTATTTTCATCAGGGAACTTGAAATAAGACTCATTGAGAAAAATTCATACTAAACCTGTCATGATTGATTGTCTGTCGTAATGAAAATAGAATGCAGAGTGATGTTATTCTAATTTCAGTCATTTTCACTGTTTTGCATCGTGTGAAAACATAAATAACGAGCAAACATTTATATAAACGACACTTAAAATTTGTTTCCAATATTTTTTTTTCTTCTCACAATATCACGGGGTGGATTATAACATTTAAAAGATTCAACTAGTTTGATATCACAATATTTTGTTACTGATAAAATAAATAAAAAATATTTCAATAACTTTCAAATAATATGATTTATAATTTTGTTTTTCTCAAAAACACTAAAAATGACAAAACTAGCAAATTATGTGCTTCGTTCAAAGATATGTTTTAAAACAATAAATGTCTTTTATTCCAACATGCATAAAAATCTTGATACGTCTATTCTCATAAAAACAAAACGCCAATAAAATATTCCGATCATCAATCAAATATCATATTATTTTCAAACATCAACCGGCAGAGATGCAATATTTTTCGCTATCAATCAATCATAATAGTATTTTCAAACATCAATCAGTAAACACACAATATTTTCAGTCATAGTAATGATATTTTTCGAATATCATTCGTTGGCATACAATATTTTCAGTCATACATCTATTTTAATGATATTTTTCGAATATCATGTCGTTGGCATACAATATTTTCAGTCAGTCACATTATTTTTAAACATAAATCCGTAGTCACTGGATTTTAATCATCAATCTATTGGCACAAAATAATTTTTCACTTTTTTTAAATAAAAAATACTGATAATTATCGGCTTCACGAATAAAAACAACAAATCCAATGAACACCATTCAGCAATTTCCAACAAGCAAGGAACATTCAAGAGTTAATTTAAATAAATTATTATTCCAAACATAAAATAAAAATCAGCCTAGAAATTCCCAGCGACTGAATAATCATAAGCAATCATTGCTGAATGCCGTATGAGATATCTCTCTCCGTCATTCAGCATTTCTAAACACTAAGTGAGTTATTTATCTATCTTAAACCGTCAACTCTTGAGAAACATTTGGCGATCTTAGCTGATAACACCGCTGAAATACGGCTGGGATAAACAATCCAACAACTTGTTGCGTGTTCGAGAAAACTTTTCATCACTTCTATAAAAATCAAGCGTTCGCGATTAAGTTATTCTTATAATATCACCATTTCTAATCTAGGTGATTTCTTTCAAAACTAAATCCCTCGTTGTCAGTTGATCGAACTTGGGAAGAAAACGATATTTCATGTGGGGCAACATTCGAAGTTTTGTTCTTTTTTTTTTCCTCTTTCAGTTAATGTAAGCAATTGAATAACCTCGCCCACTATCAGTTGAAAGCGAAGACAGCTGATAATTCCATGCCATTTCTCTAAGAGAGGGGGAAGAGTAAGTACCTAGGTCCCGTTCAGGGCGAATCTGTTCGCTGGAATGCCGAACGACCTGCGCGTTCTGTTTCACAAGCGCGCCCGTTCGCTCACAAGGCGGTATACAAAGTGAAAAGAATACCGTCGCTGTCGCAAACGGCGCACGTTTTTTTCTCTCTATTCTTGTTACGTCAGCGCTTCGCAATTTGATGACACGTGGTTTGATGAAACAGGTAAAAAGCCAGTGGAGCAAAAAAGAGAATAAATGGCATAAACGAGTTATCACTTCAGAGCGAAAAGCCTGTAATGAGCGTCTTTCGAGTTATTTCATTAGCTCGATTATTTTTTTCTTCTATTGGCGAAGAAAGATTTTATCTTAAAGAACTTTTATTAATAAAAAACTATTGTTATTTAACGTTATTATTTTTTAAATGCAAAATGTCATTGTAAAAAATTAATAGAAAAAATGTGGAAATTATGAAAAGTCATGATTCAAAACGTTATAGGCAATATGCTATATTTAGTTTGTTGAATCTGATAGCACTATATAAATTTGTTTATTTTTTTTTAATATTGATTGAAAAAGTTATAATTCATATGAAATATTATAAATATTCTTCTGAATAAACTTATACATCGATTTATAAATTGGTACACCAATGTCAACATATTGAGTAATTAAACAACAACATTAAGATATATATTTTTGAAAAACAATTTTTAAGAAAATTGATATACCAATGTCAACATATACAAGTAAAAATATGTAACTTAATGTTATTAAACAATAACATTAAGTTATATATTTTTGAAAAACAATTTGTAAGAAAATATATTGGAATTAAGAAAAACTTATACATGTATATGCAATAAATTTCTTTTTAAATATTTATTTTACATCATTTATGCCAAATAGCATATAGGCAATATGCTATTTTGCATTTAGTTTATTGAATCAGTATCTGATAACACTATATGAATTTATTTTTTTTAACATCAATTCGAAAAATTATAATTTATATGAAATATTATAAATATTCTTTTGAATAAACATCTGTATCGATTTATAAATTGGTGCACCAATGTCAACATATTGAGTAATTAAACAACAACATTAAGTTATATTTTTTTGAAAAACAATTTTTAAGAAAATTGGTGCACCAATGTCAACATATTAAGTAATTAAACAATAACATTAAATTAAATATTTTTGAAAAGCAATTTTTAAGAAAATATATAGGAATTAAGAAAAAAACTTAATACATGTATATGCAATAAATTTCTTTTTAAATATTTATTTTACATTATTTATGCCAAATAGCATATAGGCAATATGCTATTTTGCATTTAGTTTATTTAATCAGTATCTGATAACACTATATAATTTTTTTTTTTTTAACATCAATTTGAAAAGTATTCATATGAAATATTATAAATATTCTTTTGAATAAACATGACAGACATAATTTTTAAGGCAAAAATGGATTTTGGTAATAGTTTAATTTAAACTTGCTAAACGAGGACCAATACCGCACACCCTCGGTCCCAACGCAGACTGATCCAAGTGGTCACCCACCCGCACACTGACCGCAACCAGTGATGCTTGATTTCGTTATGAACGACTGCAAATTTGAACAAGATATAGGGAGAGCGTGAACTAATAGTAGGAATTGAATAATATTATTTAGTTCAAAAACTATATATTGCCTAAATAATAAAATTCACTGAATTAAAATAAACTTTATATTTTTTACACTAAACGTTAATAAAAAAATAAAATTAGTAATTATTAAAAAAGGCACGTACGTAAACCATAAACTACTTTTTTTTTCTTCTTTTTTTGTAAAAATATATTTATGTGCCAATACATAAGTTTTGAAATTTAATGCAACTATTACAAATTACGCGTGGAATTTTAGCCAAAAGTCGATTTACAAATTCGTATACCGATATCAACATATTAAGTATTTAACAATAACATTAAATATTATATTTTTGAAAAACAATTTTTAAGAAAATATATTTGCATGAATTAAAAAAAAAACTTTAATGCATGCATATACAATTAATTTATTTTTAAATATTCATTTCAGAAAGAAATTATTTAACTAAATGATTTAAAGACATGGGTCATTAACATTAATCCTTAACATTATTTCCGGACAGGCATTTTACTAGGTTCGTAATCCCCATTAACTAATTACACAATAAACAGAAACATTTTATTGTCTACATGAATATGTTGATGTTTAACATTGAAAGTCAAAGCCCTTAAATTAATATCTATAATTATACCACTAATTACAAGAAATTACAATTGGATGTATTAACTTGGAATTATTGATTCCGCTCCGATACATAAAGTAAAATTTTCCTGACTAATTAAAATTAATTAATCTGTCTCAATTTAGACACGACCAGTAAGTAAGAGTAAGTAAGCAATTCGACCACTAAATAAGATTTTTTTCCGATATAGTAAAGTACAATATTACCCCTAAAGCGTAGAAAAACATCAATTATACCAGTATAAATATATCTAATACATTTCTCCGATATAAATTACAAATTAATGAGATCGTTTACTATTTTTGTTATTGGAAACAGATAAATCAATTAATTTTTATTTTTAATAGACGTCTAATATGATTTACATCTTTGAAAATGCAGGTTTGACGTAAAAATTAAATTTTCTAATTACGTTTCTCTACTTGTAAGTGCGGTATATTTTTAGAATTATATGTAATAAGAAATTTTTAAGAATTTTAATTATTTATAAAGAATTTTTAAAAACTTTTTAAGAATTTATTTAAAAATTTTCAAGTCCATAGCACGTGAGAAATTTAAAAGATATGTATGCATGTACTTTCAATTTTTTCGTAAAGTCGTGCCATTTTATGAATGTACAAAAAATGCACATAATTAAACTTATTTAAGTTTGAGCATTTTTTTATTAATTCATGAATAAATATTCTATTATTTAACTGTTATTTTTTGTCCATATTTGTTCGTGTCGTATACACAGATAAAAAAATTTCGGAAAAATGTTCAAATAAGAATTTACTTAATTGTCCTTTTTACTATATTCAACCGTAAATAGTCAAATAACCATAAAAAAAATATAGTATTCATATGCTATTTTATTTAATTTCATAACCGGTTTAATACGATATTTTATTTTAAAATTTCATAACCGGCTTTGAACAGCCAACTCAATTCTGAGTTTACGACTATCTATCTTCAACTCCGTAGCCTTGTAATTTTGAACTCAATTCAGAAGATAGGTTAACTCAAATATTGGGAGAAATTTGCCTTAGTGGAGGACTTTTCGATGGAACTAACCTGTATTTGCGTTATACGGTGTGGTAAACCACGAAAACCTCCTACGGCTAGCCTGACGACAAGGAAACTCCAACACAAGATACGTCTGCCACTGAGGATATTTTACATCAACACTGTTGTCGGTGCGAACCAGGTGCGGAATTTGTATCGAGCAATAAATAGTGGTACTTGTCTCACCTTATTGTTGGTCGGAAACGAAATTACTAATAAATGTGCTGGCGTTAAGGCTTCAGTTTAATCATTGAATTTTTTTTCACAGCTCCAACCATCCTTTATCGCCAGCCTTCCCACCAAGCCGCTCGACGTGCTATCTAAGTTATACGATGGCCTGCTTAAAAACGTTGGACCTCTGATGCTGTTAGAACATTCCAAAGATTTCCTTACTAGTTGCATTATCTGAGAATATTGTCCACGTGAATCTCTGCAATGACGTAATAAATTAGTCAGTTATCAAATCAGAAACAAGTTGGGAATGTATTGAGCTCGTGGGGAGATTTGTTTTCGACAGTGTCAACTTTCATCCATGAAAATGTACTCCACCCTAGAATCGAGTTAATGTGTTTTATATACTAGTGAATTGGAATTGTATAGTTGTAGTGGCAGACGCTTTACAGTACTCCCGCACCAGAATTATAGCTGTGATAGAATTTGATGAATGGACACCACTAGTTGATTCATTGCTGTTTTGTTGTGAGAAGCCGGGACAGCTGTATTAAGATCACCGTACTTTTGAGTGCTGATCGTGAGAACTGTATTAAGTTCACGGTCGTGGTCGCTCCTGGGTTGCCTTTACCATCGAGTGAATGCGTTGTACGTGATCGAGACTGAGTAGCAACCGCGCGGGTGGTGGATAATATCGTAGTCACATGTAGCAAGTCAACTGTTCAATGTAGACCGTCGATCGAAGTATGTGAATGTAACTTTTCCGTTTAGACTGTTCTACTAAGATGCAAAGATTCAGCAAAACACATATAATTTGGAATGGTTTCGATATATTAACTCTATCTGATCGACGCTGGGTTTCAATCTGCTTCTTTTTACTCTGATTAAACATCTTACATGGTAAACCCGGTCTGACAACGACTACGCTTTTTTCAAAATATTTCATAGAGTGGTAGACATTTTAAACCGAAGGTTTCAGAATTTTTGGTAATTTTGCCGGTATTTTAAAAGCCTCACGGCGAAAGAGCTAGAACAAAATGGCGGTTGGTTGCATGTGAATTTTGAAATCATTTATAAGTAGCGATGTGGAAAAAAAGTTCAAATAAATAAAAAAAAATGCATTAAAACCTAAATTTAGGTACAAATAGAATAAATGTTTACAGAAAAGCGTAGAAAGTTCACAACCCTGGTAAAGACATTCGAATAATCTTTTTTTTATAGCTTGCTTTCTTCTAACCATCCAAAATTCTGGCCGAAGTACTGAAAGTGTTATTTTTACTCCTAGGTTATACACGTGAGTGAGTCAAATTAGAAGTTTTGGAAATACAGTGGCTGGCCTTATTGTTAGATGCACTATAAGATTCTATGTATAATCTTAATTATCAGGTGATACTATACAGCTTTATTGTTTTTACGCGGTTTGCACTTCGTGTATCAGTTGGTTAAATTAGACGATATATAATATAAATTTGACGATAGGATAAATTAGACGATATATTATATAAATATAGAATATTTATTACATCATGAATTATATTAGCATATTATAATAATTAGACCAAATTATGAGACGCACTGTAGTGTTTTAATAATGACATGTTTTGCACGAGTTTTTATGCAATACTTTTATATTTAAACATACATGTAATGGCTTTTTAATCAGGAGATTTTTTATATACTTCCTATTTGTATT